GAATATTTTTAAGATTGGACCATAAATATACAAGATATTGTGAGTTGAACAGACTAAGTTGTAATTTATCAGTCTCAAACAAAATCAGATATTGACTGGTAATGCTATCATTACAAGAAAATGAATGGCTTCCTTAGAAAGCAAAAATACTAAATTCAAAACAGAATTGAAAACTGGTATCAAGGAAACCAATACCAAAACAAATCGCCAACCTGACCAACTCTACTGTAATTTGAAAATAGGTCAGCCATAAATGATATTAGATTATAGAGAATATTCTCCAACATTTAAGGTTCAGTCAGTTACGTGCCATGCATGATACAGGTGATCATGTATGTTTTGATGACTGACGAGGCAGATTTTTTCCCACAGTAGGTTGCTATTTCTTTGTGGTAGACGAGTTGCCATTCAAGGCTATAGAACCCAGTCCGTCCTGCTATCCTGGGGGGAGAAGAAAAAGGATTCATACCTTTCTCAAGTATGTAAGTGAATGTAATGGATTTGAACTTGGCTCTCTGGTTCCTCAATCCAAGCTGCTATCCATTACTCTACCGTGTCTCCTTTAAGGTTACTGAGTACTTAAAAATTATATATATATTGTCCTTTTCTTCAATTATGTTTTAACAGATAAAATCTTCATAGAATAACAATCTGTTATGACTCATCAAACATAAACATGGCTACTGTCAGTTAAAAACACAGCTACAGTTTGGTTTGAAAATGCATTTCTATGTTATTTTAAACTTAAGATAATATTTGTTGCAAATCAGATTATACTTTCATTCAACTAATATTACTCTGATAAAGTTTCCAAAAATGATGTTTTATTTTTGGAAGATTTTTTAACAAATTTAATCATTGCAATGAAAGATGGGAGGGGTGCTAATCAGCTATTTTAGTTAAAAAAAAATATCCAATCAATTATACAGAGTATTTTTTTTTTTTTTGCTTACTGAAAATATTAAATTTAATCATTTAGCTTTCAATTAAAGCTAAAAAGAGAACCTTTTCACTTTTAAAAATTAAATTTAAACCTTAGGCATCACTGTTTTAGTGGAGGTACCTATAAATTCTTAAGTCAAACTAATTTTCTAGTCAGCCAATATTTAGTCAACACCAAAATCTTTTACCAGAAATGTTATAACATCAAAAACTATTACAATTTCTGAATTGGCTAATGTAATGATGCAATTTCTTGACACCTTGTAAGAACTGCTGCAAAGAGGAAAAAAACACTAAAGAGAAGTATAAAGAAAAAAAAAAAAAACACCAAAGAAAGCTAAAGTGTTCAACCACTTAACCTTTATTGATGAGAAACAGATAACACTGAGGATGAACAGGTGACAATGAGCAGAGACAGGAGAATTTCACAATAAACAGGAGGGGTTAGGGTGCCCCTACCTCAATGGCAGTCGCAGCAGCCAAGGGTTCTTTTTTGTTATTAAAGTTCATTCACAGATGGCATCCTCCTTGCAGTGATGGCCTGACCCCTCTCCCAGTCCCAGCATTTGGCCATTTCCTTCCTTCCATTTAGCAAAACCTGCAACTGACACACAGCCCGCTCACTTGGCTGGAGGAGCACAAGAGAAAGAATTAAGAAAAAAAAAAAAAAAAATTCAATGTCTGCCAAGAGGAAAAACTGGCTTCACAACTGGAACTGTGCAACTGTAGCTAAAAAGAGAACCAAATGCTGGTTAAGGTTGGTGTTTCCTCTTGGTTTTTCTTGTACTGAGGAAAGTTTGCAATTCAATAAATAAAACAAAGGCTGGAAATTAGCTACAGAATAGAAGTTCATAAATATAGGCAAAAGGAAAAATAAAAATCTGAAGAATGTGTATTTTCTTTTTTTTAATCCCTACTCCATCCCAGAGAAAGTCGTCCGGCTTGATTGTTACTAAGAGATAAGGAAAGATTTGAAAGAGAAGGTAGTGGAGGTCATTGTGAACAGCCAGCCAAATTTCTCAGAAATTGAATAGGAAGAGATTTTAAATTTATTGTTGGCAGGTGAGTGAATGGGGTAAAGAGAGGGCCAGCTGTGAGGTGAACAGTTGCTGGTTTGCTAGAAGGAAAACAGGCAACATTGTCCAGTTAAAATACACAAAATGATAGAATTTTTTTTTTCTCCATATAAAAATTTATAGATAAAGTTTGGCAAGATGTTGTGATTTCCCTGACAATGATTCTTTGAAAAAATACAATTTCTTCCTCTGAGAGGTGAGTGGGATTTGAAGTGATGAGTTTGGGAGAGGTGGAAGGCAAAAAAACAAAAAGAAAACAAAAGAAAAAGGCCGATTCCTTCTTTATTTATTAAGATATATTTGGAGTGCAAACAAAGTGCTACTTTGTTAAAAGGTCTGCCACTTGCTCTTAAGACAGTATTCCGAAGAATGATCAGCCAAGATGTACTTAACTGGTTCAAGTATGAACACTGACAAATAATGGATGAAGTTGAGACAAATGCAGAGAAGTCATTCCAGATTTCTTTTGGAAAATATTTTTATTGAATCATAATAGAGAATAGGAATTGCAGAGATTCTGGTTGAAAGTTTTGTGGTTATCAGAGAGCAGAATTGAGCAAAATATCTGAGCAATGCAGAGGGGCCACTGCTCTAATGGTGATCACAAAGAATGTTACTCTCAGAAGGGAGAGGGGGAAGGTCTCTCTGCAAATGTCTTAGAGAAATGAAAAGTCAGCAACCAAATAGAGTAGAAAAAATGTCTTCTGTAAGAGGACAGAGAATACATTTGGAGGGGGGGAGAGGAGGCATCAGCAGTGGATAGCCAGCAATGGATTTAGGAAAGGAAAAAAAAAAAAAAAAGTGCAGGAGTAGAACCTGTGCTGAGAGTAAGATGGAACAGCCCAATGCTTTACTTTCAGCATTCTAAAAATGGTGAGAAACAAATATCCTGCTTTTTAGATGCTTCAAAACCCTTTTTTCCCAAGCCTTTTTATTTGTTTTGTTTGCCTTCTTTCATTTCGTCACTGCTTTATAAGGAGGAAGAAGATTGTTTCTTTATTATTCTAAAAAGACAAAACAAAAGTGGAACAGCAATAAATAAAAAGTTGATTTTTTTTTTTTTTTAAAAGTTTCATCAAATCTGTGAGATGAGGGCATATGATAGACATTTTAATTTCAACAGTCATATTTATTTGGCTGTTGCCATCAAATTAAAGTGAAGTGTGTGTATATATTCACACACACGTACACACATACATACACACACCGATGCATACATACTCGTGTGGTCTGTGATTCAGATGAATGGTTTGGAGAGAAAAAAAAAAAAAACAACTACAGCCTTTGATTGATATGGAGAAAGATAAAGGAAAAAAAAAAAAAAAATTAGAAGCAGAGAGAGAGAATTTGTCAAACACTCAACACTTACATACTTTGGCTGGCATGTGTCAACACCCAATCACATTTTTGGTGGACGTCAACATGACTTCTGCCTGCAGTCAATGCTGTTCACCCCAATAGAGTTTCACCTTGAGGCTTCTAGTAACTGCTGCTGCTGCTGCTGCTGCCGTTGCCGCTTCTTCATGTGCTTTGTCTTCTATGGAATTCAACATTTAAATGAGCGAACAAGCATCAAGTAAACACAGGCGGGTTCAGAAGTCTCAAGCTTAGAGCAAGAGGCACTTCCCGGTTCTTTATGAGATAATGGGATGCGTGCGCGCGTGTGTGTGTGTTTGTGTATATAGGTGTGTGTGTTTGTAGAGTGGGGAGTGAATGAAGTTACATACAAAATGTACATCAGGATTTTTGGAAACTGGAGGAGGAGGAGGAAGAAGAGGAAGAGGAGGAAGAAAGGAGGGGGGCAGGAGCCACATGCACCCCACTTGGGGGAGGGGGGATGAAGATGAATGAAATGAAAACATTGCATTTTAGAAGAAAAAGTGCTATCCCTTCATTAAAATCTATGTATGATCAAATTACAAGGAACTGCCTAGTAAAATGTCTGCGGTGGTTTTTTTGTCTCTTTCATCCCCCTCCCCTCTTCACTCCTTCCTTGTTTAGATATTTTTTTTATTTTTTTTCTTTTTTTTTTTTTTTATTTTTTTTTGGTGGGGTGGGGTTGCATTCCTTTCTTCCAGCTTTCTTCTTCTTCCAATTCAAAGGGCGGAGGAGAAAAACCAAAAAAAAAAAAAAAAAAAAAGAAAAAAAAAGAAAAAAGAAAAAAAGAAAAGAAAGAAGGAAAAAGAACCCCCCCCAAACCCTTGAAAAAATAAATTAAAAAATTAAAAGGAAAAAAAAAAAAAAAAAAAAAAAAAAAAAAGCCAAAAAAGGGAAAGGTCACTGCTGTGTTTTGCTTTCAGCCTTTGATTCTGGTGACAGAAAGTCAACTGTGCAAAATGGCAGCTTCTAGAGGGCTGGGAGTTGAAATGGGATGGATGGGGCTAATGGGTCGGACAGGGAAGAGGGCAACAGTGGGTGGAATGGTAGTCAAGAGTTGGAGTAGCTGTAATAGTAGTAGTATTAATTATATAATAATAATAATTATAGTAGTAGTACTAGTGGTGGTGGTGGTGGTGGTGGTGTTGGTGAAAGGAGTAACCGTAGTGGTGTTGGTGGCAGTGGCATTTATGGTGGTGGGGGTGGAGGGCGTTGGTCAAAATAAAAGTCATAACTGTCTGCTGACACTGAGGTAGCAACACTCCAACTATCCAGGACATACTGGCTTGTTGTCCAAGACAACATCAAAGTGTAACTGAGGAGGAGGAAGAGGAGGAGAAGGAACAATGGTAATGGTGGTAAGATTATGATGATGATGACGATGGTGATGAAGTGGTGGTGGTGAGGAGGAGGAGGAAGAGGAAGAGGTGGAGGAGGAGGAGCCAGCAGCCAGCCAGCCATCTGACACTTGTGCCCACAACACAGTCACATAATAGTAGTAGTAGTAGTAGTAGTAGTAGTAATAATAATAATAATAATAATAATAATAATGATAATAATAATAATGATACGCTGCATCAGTTTTGTCTGTCTGTCTGATTTGATCTAATCAGTCTTCTCCTCCGTTTGATTGGCAGGGTTTGGAGGAGGCTTTTTGTCCTGACCCCAAGGGCTCTGCTGTAATGCTGCGGGAGAAGTCTGAAATTTCGACTCTTGTTCCTCCTCTGTACCATTTGGTTCATACTGAGTGTTCTCTAAACGAGTGATGAGACGTTCATCTTCATCCCCAAACTCCCCACCCATCAGGGTTGGTTCACCGACAACCATAACATCCTGAAAAGAGAACAAGACATAATATTAGAGACAATCGCAATGGTGGCACTCGGCAGGGAAGGGGATACAGGTGACCAGGGCTCAGTGAGAGCATTGAGGAAGGTGGCTGCATGATGGCCCACCACACAGCCTGAATAGTCATACCCTTCACAATGGGCAACACCCTCTGCTAGCAACAATACACATGCACCCAAACTCACACATGCACAATGTACTAGTAGCAAAAGATGGGGAAGCTGAGGAAATGGTCATTATGAAGTTTCATGTTTATACCCATCTACTCCTGCATGTGAGAAAGTTAAAAAAGGAAATGTAGCCAAATCACAAATGTGATTGCAGAATAAAATAGATCATTGTGCCAAGGCATCTTCTACTACCATTCCTAAGATTCTTATTCCTGATTGATTTTAGTTTTGAACATAACACACTCCCAGAGAAACAGATCCAGTTCTACAACAAATATATATATATATATATATATATATATATTAAAAAAAAAAAAAAAAAAAAAAAAAAATAAGAATTAAATGCAGAATCCAAGAGCAAGTGTTTATTTGAAATTAGAGACCATTGCTGTCGGTGACATTTTGAGCTTTCTTTGAAAGCTGAGTGAGTTCTGTAATCTCTGTTCATGGACAAGTGTTCAGAAGACTTGAAGCATTTGATATGAAAAATTCTTGGACATTTGTTAGGACTGTACAAAACTACAAAGATATGGAATTAAATTAATACTTCTCATGATTGTTGAGAAGTAGAGAGAGGAAAAAATATAGATGTCTTGAACCACTTAAGAAACTGATGATAATGGGGATGACATGGTGGATAATGGATGATGAAAAATAGTTCATGTGTTGTTCGTAAGTAAACAGGAGTTCTATGGAGGGTAGCGCTGATATACATAGGTTGGCCTGTTGAGCCTAAAACCAGGCAAGGGAGACAACTCCCAGTTTAATATATGGTGTAGGTCTCTAAGGTTGTACAGTTCCAAGATAGAGTAGTCGAACAAAAAAGTAAAGAGAGAAAAAAAAAAAAAAAAGAAGCTTTGGGGTAGGGGTTCATCATTATTGTTTGACCTTAGGCCTTCTGAAGACTGGTTTCTTCCACTAATACTATGAATGGATGTAGGAAGTCAGTCAAGCAGCACTTACAAACAGTGGTGGTGGTGGTGGTGGTTGTGGTGATGGTGGTAGTAGTAACGGTACTAGCAGCAGTTGTAAGTGAATTAAGAAGAGTCACCCATACTGCTGTGGTGGTGTTGTACCTACCCCCGGTACTGATGATGCAATGTTAAATCCCTGTGGACCCGGTGATCTCTTCTGTTTTCCTGATGGTGGCACTGCATCCCGGGAGTTCACGTTTCCCGACGTCGAATTATTACCCGCTGAAGACTTTCTTTTTCGCCGCTTGCTTGGTGGCCTTGCCGTATCTGTAACTAAAGAAATTAAAACAACAAAATCTTCTCAAGGCTCACGCAGCAAACAACAACAAGACAATGCACTACTACAGAGAAGTAACCAACAGTTAACAATGGATCAAATGGCACACAAAAACAACAACAACAGGTTGGACATTTAGCTGGCCTACAAATAGCAAACAATTTAACAGGCCAATGTTCACCAAATACAATTTTACAAGTTTATTTTTATTTATTTTTAAATGGAAATACTAAGATGGAAACAGTAAACTTACTATTATTATTATTTAAAGAATCAAATATGGAAAATATTCTATGCCACCAGGAAATGTCAATAAAAAGACAAGAAAATGACAATCCTGCAAGTAACTGTTTCTCTGTTATATATATATATATATATATATATTTAAAGGCAAGAGAAAAAGGGTAGGGAAAAAAAGCCATATGCTATCCAAAACAGACTGGAGCATTTATTTAGTGCAAATAATTTAATGTAAGGTAATGTCAAACTTATTATTTAATTGCTGAATCAGAGAAGCGAGAGCAACATTTACGAGCAGGATTTGGCCAACACAACGAACAAGAATCAAAAGGCTGGTGACAAGATGCAATCAGAAATGCAGTTACTTAGTCAAAGATTTTTTGAGACTGGAGGCAGAGAATAATGGCAAAGGTGCACAAAGTGTAGAATAAGAGCAGAACTCAATTTACAAGGCTAAGGGGGCAGCTGATGGTGGCAGCAATGATAGAGGTTATAATTAACATCCAGTGATGATGATCATGGTAATTATGATGACAATGAAGATGGCAGCATCTCAGAGAGACAAATGAGTAACAGCATTGGAAGAGAAACGAGCACGTTAGAGTGACTAAAATCTAAAAGGTGGAAGGGAGAAGACAGAGAAGTGGACAAAAGTGGAAGCTCAAGGAGGACAAAACATTGAGGTAGAACAAGCAAATAGATGATGAATATAGGATACAGATTCTTGAATGGGAAGACAAAGGGCAGCTTTTACTGTTATTGGTTTAAAAAATTAACCACAAGTGCACAACCAGCCAACCATACTCAGCCAGTAGAATAGAGATCTTGATTCAATCTACTAAAATGGCAACACATTGATGCAAACTGAATACAGAAGAAATCAAAAGGGAGACATGCTTTCAAAAATGCTTGGACAAGAAAAGAAAAATACAAAAGAAAATATAAAGCCTAATAATTCTTGAAGATATTGAAAAGAAACTTCTAAAGAATTTTATTCCACAAATTGACATCAACAATGGCTGCAGCAATATTTTATTTTCAGTTCAAATCCATAAATCATTTTGTGAATTTTGAACAAGTAACAACATTTATTACTTCAAATTTTCATGTTTCACATGAAAGTAAAATAGAGAATAAGTTATAAACAAATGATGAATGCCAATTTGGATCTTTTATCAATAAATTAAATCTTTATATTTTTACAAAAATGATGAATAGTTAACAAACATATCTATATCTGCTGGTGTCTCACTGTTGGTCAAATTTACTAATTTGAAAGATTCAAATTTAGTGAGACCTTTAAATGGAAAAAAACTTACTTCAAAATCTTCATAAATGACAACAGTTTTGTTTTAATTTTAATGAATAGGATTAAAGTTAATCATGAAAATGCACCAAGTGAGATGCTTTAAACATTTACATTAGAATGAAAACTGAACAAATATCCAATAATGAAGTTAGTGAATTGAAGAATTGAGATCAATTTGTGCACAAGAAAAAATATTAAGAGAAAACAGAATGGCCCTTTCTCTTACGGAGAGAGAAAGAGAGAGAGAGAGAGAGCACAAAAATATTATAACAAAGGTTTACAAATAAAATCAGTTTTCAGAAACAGAAAAAAAAAAAAAAAAAAAAGAAAAAAGGGAAAAGGAATTTTCCAGGTTTATAATGAAAAAATTGAAATTCTATGATGGCCTAGAATATAATGGCTGCTGCCTTAAATGGCTATAAATAGACAAATGAACATCTTCAAGCTAAGCTGTACTTAAACATTACTGGCCATGCTCCCTTCCCTGACAAAAAATATTAAGCAAAGTAAATTGGAAGGAAAAAAATGATATAGATAAGTTTATCTTGGCCAGTAGCAAAGAAGGTTTCTTATATTTTCAAACAAAGAAAGAGGAAATGGTTGCTTTCATGTTACCCACAATGTTTATTTTTTTAACTTTTTTTGAATTTGGGAAGAAATCAAAAGAAAAACTTCTCTGGTAGAGCAGCAAACTAGGTTGAAAGGAAGAGATACTTTGCAGTGGCATTATTTTCCTCTACTTGTGACAAGATGATGAAGAAAGCTAAAAGGTTTATCTGAATATCTAACAAGAAAGAAGACAAAGAAAGAAAAAGAAAGTGAAAGAGAGAGAAATTTTGGCAAGATTAGTTGCAATTTAGGAAAGTCAAGTCGAATTGAAAGCTCGTATAGCAGGAGCTCACAGAATGCCAGCTCTACTGGGTGTTGATTGCCAGGAATCAGATTTGGACAAGGGTTCTTTCTAGGGAGAAACTTAACTGCTGCTGCTGTTGCCAGTTTTTCTTTTGGGTAAACAGATGAAAGTTTTTTGTACCTGAGTGTGGCAGGTATTGAATGGAAATCAAGGGCAAACTCAAAATGGGCAAACATTTTGTTAATATCGAACCTGCTGCCATCACTGTTACCTAAACACAGACAATAACCACTCAGTGCAAAGTTAATACACTAGTAGTAATAGCAGCAGCAATAAAATTGGTAAGTACAAATCAGTAAGTAGTAGTAATGATAATTCAGCAGCAATGAGTAGTGGTAGTAATTAATTACAATAACAGTAGTAGTAGTAGCAACAGAGCTTTACAGTGAGTGAGTGATTGGAAATCAAGGGTTTGGTCAGCAGTAGACATCATGCAGCAGCAGCAGCCTTGTAAAAGGAGAAGCTCCTTACAATCAAACCAAGTCAAGTGGACAAAACACCAGCTTTCCACAAAAGCAACTAACTGGAAAAGTAACTAACCTTTGCAGACTGAAAAAATATAGCTCTTTCACTAAGTAAGTAAGGAATAGATATGAAAAAGTTGAAAAATAAAAAAATTAATTAACCTTTTCTTTTCGAAGGTGAGGTATCAAGTCTTGATGAATTTCCAAAGGGTGAAATACGTTCCAGTAAATTATCTAAAGATGTAAAGAAATAAAGCAGCAATTCTTAAAGTGTATATTTGGAGTCAAGAGTTCATTTTGGTTACAGACACTAGATGGACGTTACGTGTCAACACTGACTTAAAAAGGACAAGTCGAGCACCAGGAAGTCTTACAAAAATAAAAGAGAGAGAGAGAGTGAAATATGTACAAAAGTAATAGTGGCATGCGGTCTTCAATTTTCTCACATACTGGTATCATCATCATCATCATTATTATTATTATTGCTGTTATTATATATGTAGAAATAAATAAATGTAGAGAGATTATATAGTGAGAGAGATTTATAGACTCATACAAAAATAGAAACAAAAAAGTGGAAGAAATTTTTTTTTTTTTAAATTCTCAACAGAATGTGTGTGGTGATGTGGTGGTTGTGATGTGTCCTTTTAATTAAGAAAAAAAGAAATAACAGACATAAGTAGAGAGCAGAAGTAGTGGCTTTTCTTAGGACATTTATGTAGAAGTCCATTTTACTGGCCGTGAACAAAACAGTCTAGCCACATGCCATTGCTAGACAGCAAGGACATGTTTTAGGTTTTGTTAGATGCAGCACTTCTAGTCTATAGATTCCTTCAAAGAAATCTAGTAAGAATCAAGTACATCAAATCAGCTGGGAAGGGGGAAGTGCTGAAAATATAGCATTGCTATACGTCATCTTTTTGTAAAGCTCATTTTAATAGAATAGAAAAAGATTATTTTTCTGTTAAATTAATGAACAGCAAGTGTGAACTGTATGCTCCTGTGCAGTCCAACAAGTAATGATGACTATCAACAATGCAAAGAATCCCCTACAGTAAAAACAATTCTGCAGTGACAAAAATTACCTGCATATACCGACAGCCCATGTGCGAAGAATAAGTGGCAAGTCAGTAACTCGATTGTTCCCACAGAAGAATAGAAACAATCATTTAGGATATTACTGCAAGTTGTATAAAAAATGATAATAGTGATAGAGAAACAGAAATAATTTTGTTTCAAGTCTGCTGTAATGCAAATGCCCATTGCCATAAAAAAAAAAATTTCATCTACTTCAAGCCACTGTAAGGAATGTTGATTAAGGTTTGCGATCCTTGCACGGAGCACAACTCACCAGCACATGTCACCCAATATCACAGTCAACTAGGATGGGATGAGTAGAATTGACAATAAACAAAAAACAAACTTCAAGTAGGTGGGGAAAATAACAGAATAAAAAGAAAATGATAGAAAGAAAGAAAAGGCAATGTCAGACAAAAAAAAAAAAAAAAAAAAAAAAGGCAGCAGTAGCAGCAAAACAAAAAAAAAAAAAAAATAAGCTGGCAGGGAAATAAAAAATATTGAAAATAATAATCTATAATTTATTTATATATATATATATATATATATATATATATATATATATATATCTCTCAAATATATATATATATATATACACACACACACACACACACAGAGAGAGAAAATGTAAATTATTTTTTTTTTTTGGTATATCTACACAAACCAACAGTTTCCAGCTTGGCCTTTCTTCAGCAGAACATTTGACTCAGACAAAAAGTTCAGATAGAGGAAAGCAAAGGAAAAGTTAGAATAGGAGAGAAAGAGAGACTGTAGGTAATTGAAAAAGGTTAAGAAAAAAAGAAAAGAAAAAAAAAGAAGAAAGATAAATTATACAAATACTGACTACAATAGAACTCTGTTAATCTTGACACATCTTTCACAATATGCATTTAATATACTTTTGACTATAAACACATGAAAAGCTTTTTGCTGTAAAAGATCCCTATAGGGAAACTTCCTAACAGTTAATATCAGCCGATATTCTTTCCTGATCTTTTGTCATGATAAATGTATTTGTGATATTTTTCAATAAATTAATCAAAAGCAGAGACATTTCAGAGCACTTTGCACAGTAAAGCAAGAAAGAGAAAATGTAACTTTAATAATTTGAACCACTTAAAGTTTTTCATGTGTCAATTTTTTTGAAATCATCCTCAGTGGGAAGAATGTGTAAAATCAATCAAACAATATTAATTTCTCAGATTTGGTTTTGACAACAATGACATTAATATAAAGTAAACAATGTAATAAGTGTTTGGCTTAAGTCAAGATTAAGAAGAGTTTTACTGGAAAATGTATGCAATCAGTGATAAGTGAGATGGAAGAAAATAAAATCATGTTAGCTGAGGAGGGAGATCAAATTTGTTTGACAAAGGAGACAAACTGACACCAAGTTTGCCCTGGTTGAGAGAAGATTTTTTAGTGAGTGCACATCTTATACACACACTCACTAAATATTCCCTCTTGCTAGTAGTTTTGACGATATATTCAACTGGACTAGCTACATTGTTTTGCAAGTCTTATATGATGGCCCAAACAAGGTATTTTGATTAGAAATAGTTTCCATCTGAATTTCTGAGATAAGGAGTTATCATTATTTATACTATTTACATTCAAACTACTGTCCTCATCTTTGTTGTTATCCCATTTCAACTGTTGTGTCCTCCAACCTTCATCAGGTGTATATTGATCTGGGTAACCTATGGGGAATTCTGAACTGAATCCTTTAATTAACCTACAGGGTTAGATTGTTCGTTTCACTTCCCATGCCTAGGGATATTGTCTAACCCTTATTTTGTTAGGTTTAAGGCTCCAAGTTCACTTCATCAAATTGTACTAGTAGATTAAAGTGTTGGTTTGTGAATTTAATGACATAGTAATTGTGAGTTCAATCTCTGGGCTGGATAGTGTGTACTACTTGAATTCCATAGAAATAAGTGAGCAATAACTGAGTAGTACTAAAAAAATAACTAGACAATATCCCTAAACATGAGCAGTGGAATGAGAATAATCTACCCTCTGTAGATTAAATAAAGGGTCTAATTCAAAATTCCCTGTAGGTTACTCAGATTGATAGACATCTGATAAAGTCTGGAGGGAACAACAGCTGAAATGTGATAACAACAACAAAGATGAGGACAATAGTCCTAATATAAATAGTCTAAACAATCTCCAATGTAAAGCCAAACTGATTACTAACTTTAATAAGCAAAGTGAAAACAGGAGACAAGTTTATCTTTTGGATTTGGGAGCATTTCAATAATCTCACTAACAAAAACACTGCAAATCCAAAATCTAAATGGTGAGAGTAACAGTGGCAATAATCATTTTCATTCAAATGGGATTCTTTCAATTCTAATGCTAGAGAACTAAGCAGCAATTGGTTGCTAGAGATCTTCACTTTTCTCATTCAAACCCCATAAAATTTTCTGACACTGAAAGAGGTTGTGTTGAACCTGTGGCAAAAACAATTGTTTCAAATCAAACCAGGTCAAAACTTGTCAAGATCTTTACAAAAGTCATCTTCATGTGACATTTAATTAATACCTCCTCCCACCCAAATAAACAGTACTAGTCAAAAGTTAAATGTATCCAGTTGTCTTTATTAGTTTTGAGTTTAGGGCAAACAGAATTGCGACAGAAAAAATTAATCCATTCCCTTAGCATGATGGGAGTTAAGATGTGATATTCAAATATCCTGGAAGAGGAAAGAAGTATATGACATCAAATTATATTTGGCTACTTAAAACCAATGAATATATTTGATGTTAAAATTTAAATTTCAGATACTTGAATAAACTCTTGTTAAGTTTTGATTTGCCTGTCAGATTTGAAAAATTCCTTTAGCAATAAGGTCAAAACAAAAATGAGGAATACGAATAAAATAAGTCTCCAGTATAACCAGCTACATTTTTATTCAGCAGTAAACTGTTTAAATTTCAAACTAATAATGACTTATATCTGATAATTTCCTCTTATTTCAATAATTTGTTTTTTTTTTTGCATGTAAAAAATTGTCAAAAAATGTCTATATTATTAAGAATGAAATTTGCAAACAGTAGATAATGATGGCCAAATTACACACCTCTAAAGAAAGTAAACATTATTTAGGCTCCAAAATCCTGTGGGTAATAAAGCACCAAACTTACACTTTCTTTTGTATTACAGTTTTATGAACTAAACAGATTATAGAGCAAGACAATGGTTTGCTTAGGAATACCAACATCTATATGAGTTTTGCAAAGCCAATTAGTATTTAACAAAAACTATTCAGTGAATAGGGCTTTCATTTTGCTGCTTTGTAGTAAGTGCTAACTAAATGAATATTTCTATAATTGCAAGCATTCCCTGGAGGTAAAGAAAGAAATGAACTTTAAATGAAAACTAAATCTTTATTTCTTTAATAGCTACTGAAATTGATAAATCATGAGAAAAACAGAAGAAATTAATTTTATCTATTCTCTTCCTTTTTTTGAGAAGAAGCTGAGAACTGCTGTTCTAATTATAATACTAAATTTTATTTTCAGTCTTCATATAATAAATCAGTACAGTTTATTTCTTTGGCCAGTATGTATCCTGTGTTATGAAGGTACAAAGGTACCATTAACACTTACATTGGATCCTGGACACAGAATGACTAACTCTGAAGAATAGACTGTAATAGAGTTAAATGCCTTATTTAAATGTTTGTAGCTCATGAAGTTCAATAAGTTTTTTCTAATAACAGAATAGCTTTAACTTCTTTGGGTCAAATGTAACTTGTTTTTCTTGCTCATATATTTAGGGAGTTTAAATTAAACAAAATAAAATATAAAGTTGTATCAAAGAGGTTTGCAATCATTGTGTTCAACACATACTTTCTGAATCCTATTTACTCAGACACCAAAACTTTAAATTAATTTGCTAAATGAAAACAAGGATTCAATGAATAATTCATATTAAGTACAAAAGATGCAATAAAAAATGTTAAATGAATCTAAGAACTTGTTTTTATAGAGTTATTTCATCAACAAATACCAGTCAATGACCAGAGGTCCAATTATAGCAGCTGGTTGCAATAACTGAGCAAATATTTTTGCTTATAGTGTCATCACAGCAGGACAGTCTTCACATTCAGATATTTGCTGAAATGAAAGCTTTAAATGTTTCTCAAAAGAAAAACATTGACCATTTACCTCAAAGAAAAGCCACATCTAAACATTAAAGAAAATAAGTTAGACATTGCCTCTAAGAAAAAAGATTTTATCAGAAATAGCAACATTGGCTTAAAAATTAAAAAAAAAAAAAAAAAAATAAATAAATAAATAAAATAAAATAAGTAAAAACAATAAGTTGCCACCAGCCAGGTT